GTAGTTAAATTACATTTAATGCATGTCCGGAAAAAACTAATTATTTGAGTATTATTGTTGTTGTTTTTTTTATCATCAAAACATGCCTCTATTCATATCAAAAGATTCATCAGGATCATTACATCAAGCAAAGGGAAAATAAAACAGACACCAACCGAAACTCCAACAACTACGACTGTAACCCTATGGTGAGACTTTGAGACGGTCACCCCTGAGAGAGCAACACGAATCGCTAACCATTTAGTGGGCTTGACACAGCCAAAACTATTCTCATAGATCCAACCATACTTAATGATATAAAGAGAGACAAAAAACTCAAACAAACTGTCAAACCCAACAACAAAAATGGACGCAAGAAAACACATAACAAACAGATAAAAACTACAAGAAAAACGTTCACGAACTCTAGCACCTCGTGCATCCTATGGTGGTGGTTCAGGAGGAGGTCGTACCACTGGTACCATGCTAATTGATCCTCCATGACCTTTGGCTGCCAAAGACCATGCATCAATCATCCGTCCCTGCATAACCAAACTCATCTCTGCTCCGTGCGACCAGAGTAAGCGGACAGGCGGCGTTGATCTTCTCCAACGACGACAGCAACGCCGCATCCTCGAACCTTGACCACAGCGCCGATCTCCTCGAGCCATGACAACAAATCTGCCCTCCTCCACCTATCTCCGCCCTCCGCGTCTGATCTGGACTCCAGTCGAGCACCAGCGACCAAGGGATAACAAAGCCGATCTTCGATAAAGTCGAAATCGGAAAAAGGCTCCAGCGGCCGACATAGTCAAAGCCCTAAAGAGAAAAACTCGTGATCGCTCTACCTTAGCCAAAAGCAGACCACTGCTCCGCGGCCAGATATGCGAACAAGAACAGCCGAACTTCGATCAATATGATCGAATTCGGAAAAAAAAGCCTAGAGGCGGCTGCCCTGGGAGGCTAGGAGAAACGGAAGCAAACCAAAGTTGAGTTAGTTTTACTTTTTTATTTGAGTATTATTGTTGATGAATAGTTTTAAGCTTTCAGATTATTTCAAATTTATTAAATACATGTGATGTTGCAATGATGTGTAATGAAAAAATCATTTATTTAGAGAGCATGAATGGAGATGCTCTTAGTTATGGTTTTGTAATATCCAAATCGACTGTATTGCTGATTCTGCTGAAATTTATAAAGTCGAGGCTGAAATGGTTGGATTGACTTATTCGGTTAATTTATGAAAAACATTATATTTAAAATTTAAAATATAATAATTTGTTACTAAAAAAGAAAAAACGACTTGAATGATCATATATAGTAACTTCTGTCATTACAGCCAGAAAAATAACTTCAACCTTGTTTTTTTGTTTTTATTATTACACAGTTCCACATGCAAAATCAAAATCTACGTTGACTGATAAACCTGATAAGCCAAAAACCTGGGTCAACAAACGGGCTATTAATGTGTACATATTTTACAAGGTTTAAAACCGTCTGACTTTTAAAAAGAATAAATCATCAATTTTTGGCAAATTATTAGATTAGTTAAATTCATAGATTTGTAAATTTATTGCATTTGTAATAATTAATTAGCTACTTTATGAATATTATATTCAAATAATGTCACTAAGAACCTATTTATTAATAATTACATTTTTGGACATAAAATGTTGTTCAAAATGTTGAAAAAATCAATGGCTCCAACAACAACAAAAACGTGTAACATTTTCGGCGATAATACAAATCAATTATATTACTAATGCGTTTTACAAGGAAGCGTTATGAAAAGTGTAGGTCGTGAAAGCCTTACTACAATATCTATTTTTTCCTTTTTATTCCAAAACACACTTCTTACTAATATATTATAGGGAAAATGGAAACTAATAATCCAACCTTTTAGCGGTCTTCTTTCAATAATCCCACCTTTTGATTATTCATGAATAATCCAACCTTTGCAACTCATCTTCATTCATTGGTCTCTGGTCGGTTAATGACCTACTATATCAAGTTATTTTCTTATCTTTGCAAAATATTATCTTTGTGAAAGATGAGATTTATGGTATAATGATTTGCAAGGGAAATTATCATTGACCCCCTTGAGGTTTGATGCATTATCAACCACACCCCTATACTTTCAAAAATATACTCTTACCCCCCTCTCTATCCGTTAATGATGCTTAAATAACTCTTAATCTACATTTAGAGAAAATTATGAATATAATTTCATAATTTTTCTTTGTGTCTAGTTTTAATACTGTAATTCTAATCTATCACAAATTTGGTCGGGTAATTAATATATTTGTCCATATTAAAGACCTTTCTATCGGAAGTCAACCAAATGAAAAATGACCAAAACTGACCTCACTCTAGGTAGTTCGTTTTATGCTTTCGAATTTGTAAAGTTAGTAAATTTACACAATTGAAAATGATCAAAATATGCTAAATTTGACAAAAATTGAAACAAATCAACTTAAATGAACCAAACCGACTCAAAAGTGAAGTTTACTACTTGATTTTACCATTAGAAATTGAATGCAAGAAAATTCCCAATTTGCACTTTAGATACTCTTTATTATTACTGGAAATGAGTCCATTTTAAAATGATCTCAATGGTTCTAGTAAAAAATGAACGGGGTCGAAACATGGGCTCTAATCACAGTCCCAAAAGTGAGGCCTAAGGCCTCTTTTTCACCGGTATGGTCTCGATCCCGGCCTAAAATCTTAATTCAAAAATCGACCATTCCCGATATCGGGCCTTGTCCTCCCCTAATATGAATCTCAAAAGTAAGTATTTCTCATACAAATTTCCAATAGGTAACAATATTGTCTCCTAAAAGTCCTTCACCAACATTTGTTTTAAGTATCAAATAACACTCATCGTTATTGGGCATCTATCCCTCGTTAAAAAAGTTTCACCAAGATTTCTACAATCTCAGATCTATTTTCAAACTTCTAAAAGTAATAGAGATTTACAGTTTTAAGCTTGTACCTTTCGATTGCATTTGCTACTAGTCCTATAATTTTACTCACATGTAGATGTAGTTATGTACCTAATAAATTTATAGATAATAAAGACCATTTCATCAGAGAATACGCATTCCCGCAACAAAGTTTGTTTGGGTCGAAAGATTCTTAATACATGTTAATTATATTTATTAATTATTGGATTAACTCTGCAAGTGAGTAAATTTATAAAACTAATAAATTCATACTTTTGCTAAACGTAATTAAGAGTTACTCCCTCCGTCCCGCTATGATGGTCCCATTTTACCATTTCGGTCCGTCCCACTAAGATTGTCTCATACCTTATTTGGTAAAGTTTGTGTGGTTCTAAATCATTCTTACTTTATTCTTACTTTATCAATTTAATATCAACCACATAAACCCACTTTTATTGATAACCGTGTCATCTTCTATTGTCCCAAACTTAGGGGGACGGAGGTAGTATTAAACTTTGATTAAAGGATAGGGAGGGGGGTAAATGCATATTTTCAATAGTGCAGGGGTCTAGGTGATAATACGTGAAACCTCGAGGGAGGTCAATGATAATTCATGAATAACCAAAAGGTTGGATTATTGTAAGAAGACCGCTAAGAGGTTGGATTATTAATTTCCATTTTCCCTATATTATAAGCCTTAACTAAATTTCCTTCATTATGATTTTTTTGTATATACTTTTTACATTCATTTACTATTAACTAATAATAATGTTAACAAATAATACGATATAACTACTACTTAATTTATGTCCGGTGCATCGCACGGGTGAGAATCTAGTTCCTATAAACTTAAAACTGTTTTTTTCTTTTTTGAAGACAAGGCCAAATAGTCCTGACGGCGGTTTATATCACACTTTTTCAAAATTTGGAATATTTAAATTATTTTTAAATGTTACAAATTATTTTTAACAAATAGACCCTCTTACTATAGTGAAAATGCCAATTAAGTCAGCGAACTCAAAAAAACACTCAATTAAACACCTGAACTATGAAAAAACTTTCAAAACTGCCTTTTTTCATATGTGGCGACGCGTGGTGACACATGTGTAATTTTTTTTCTTTTTCTTTCCTTTCTTTTTTCTTTTCCTTTTTTTCTTCCTTCTCCCTGGTTCGTCGCTTCTCTGGTTCATCCACTATTTCTCACCTGCGCCATTATGTCCATCAATAGAAACGAAGCTCCACCCATTAGCCGCGCCAACGCGGTCGACTTGATTGCCAACGACGCTTGATTTTGCCGTGTCATCGTCGTCAAAATCGGGAATTTTTCCTATTTGGTCTCACCGATCTCTAGCTTGTACGAGCTTGATTCCAATTGTAATTATTAGTGTTTGAAGAACTTATACATAATATGGATTATAGTTCTACTTGAGAGGCAGAGAACCACATGCTGCAGCGTTTGGCGGTGGTGTCTTGTCCACTCAAGTAAACAAAGAAGACGGGTGAACGGAAGCGGACTCCTTGCTAGCGGCAAACCCGAGAGAAATAGAAGAAGGAAAATGAAAAAGAAAAACAGAAGAAAGAAGTTGATGCGCAGGGAAATAAAAGGGGCACTGGGAAGAAGTTGAAGTGCAGAGGAGAAGAAAAAGAGAAAGAAGGGAAGAGGGAAGAAAAAAGAAAAAGAAAAAAAAGCACGTCATGTGACACACCCACAACTTGACCGGCAACCGGAAGTGCACGGGCTAATGAAATGATTTGCGTTGTTTTTAATGGTTCATGGGTTTAATGGAGTGAAACTTGAGTTGGTGGTTTTAATTGAAATTTTGGTAATAGTATGGGGAGCTTATTTGACATTTTATGTGCTTATTTGACATTTAAATGTTACTATTGCTTCCTCATTGACCAGTCACTTTTGGGGGTCTTGTTTTTTAGACATAGAGAAAAGTAGGCAGCTATACTCTAAAGAGAAATTTAAACTGTAACGGCTAGCTTACAAATCATTCCTAACCGACCGTTGTTTAACCCGCGGCGGTTGGGCACCGCAGCATTAATATAAAGCAGGTTTTGCGTTGATAAGAGAAACAAATTGAAAATAAATTAGACCGAAGTATAGATATATCCAAGGAAGAGTAATGGTGCAGTCATCATCAACATACAACTACCTTCAAGAATCCATCTCCTCGCTGTGCAAGAACCTCCTCCAGAAGAGAAGGCTGCCGGCTATAGCCGCTGCAGAGGAGCGCCTCTCGAAGCAGCAATCGGGCAACCTCAAGTGGCAGCAGGATTCCTTCCACCACATCCTCAACCTCATGGGGCTCTGCAAGGAGGGGATTGTGCCCCACTCACAGCTCTCTGCTTTCCGATCGCACCTCCTCGACTCCCTCGTCGCCGACCACGACCACTCCTCCATCTTAAGAGATAAGCTCATCTTCTTACAGGAGCTGCTCTACTCCAATTGCATATCAGAGGAGGAGTACCACTCATCAAAGGGGCCGCTGTTGCAAAGGCTGGCAGCTCAAGGGGCTGAGATTGAGGCAAGGAATGTGATTGTTAGACCGAAGAAACAGAGTTCAGAACAAGAGTGGTCTGTAATAGACTTGGAGGATGAGAACCCCAACCCGAAACAAAACAGAGGTGAAAAGCAGACGCTCTGGCTTTCTACAGAAAACCCTTTTTGGAGGGAAACAAACCCCAACAGCAGCAGCAGCTTCTCCAGTGGTGGGGGAGGAGAGAAATCGCAGAAGAAGAAGAAGAAGAAGAAAGCATTGAGTAGATATCTGCTGTTTGGAGCAGAGGAGGTACGGGGAATGGGATTTGGAGGTTTGAGGAAGAAGTGGAACAGGGCAGAGAGCAAGGATGAAACAGACGGCTCTCTTGTTGGCGTTCAGTTCAGGTAAGCATTTGCTGCTCGCTCTCCCTTGGCTTAGCTTAGCTTTTGTGTGTTTCTGTTTTGGAGTATTGAATGTGGTAGTTAGGGGATTGATTGATTTAATAATAGTAATAGGGAGAAGAGATTTCAAGCGCACTGCCTGCAGACCAAAAATTGTTTCCCAAGTAAGGAAGGAACTGACCGTTTTTGTTCACTTAGTTTACTGTTCTCAGATGGACTGTTTTGTTTGGCTAAATGGCAACATCAATATATATATATATATATATATATATATATATATATATATATTTAGTCCTCCGAGTTTTGTGTCATTTCCATATTTAGTCCCCGTCTTTCACTTTATCCATTTTTGTTACCTGATTATTGTTTTCTTGACCATTTTCGGTCCAACTCTGGGCATTTTTATTACCGGAAAATGACTATATATGGTCAATAAAACAATAGTCAGGTACCAAAAATGGATAAAGTGAAAGACGAGAACTATTTGTGCAAAACTCGAAGGACTATAAGTGGAATTTCTTCTATAAGTTATAACCAACTTAATCATGGAATAAGAGCAGGTCTTCCCCACCTGCTTTGTTTGTCTGGTTGTCTTTCTGAAAGCCCCTCCCAGTGGCCCGCAAGTCTTTAGGCCATTGTGTGTCCAAAGCCTAAACCTAACCTGAGTGGCCTGTGGCCCTCGGTTATCTGAGTGGAAGTTTAGCCAGCAGCTTATGGTATTTTAAGATTCTTGTCGCTGCATTTTGAGTTTCAGTTTTAGGGGAGAAGAGAGTCTAATTTGCAAGTGACCAACCATCTAGATTTAAATAGACCTAGTTGTCCACTCCCTCCCTGGATTAGAAAATTAAAGAGAAATAATGGGTTCATAGGACTTCACATAGAACTAGATATAAGATTCGTTTCATCCTTTGGTGTGATTTGACTTTATAAGCGCAGTTAAGTGACAACAACCTAATTCTGAGCTCTTTAATTTCTGAGTTGTTATTAATTAGCATATTGGTTTGTAGGCTTGTAGCTGCTGTGTTTAATCTAAATTTATGTCATTCTTTCAAAACCAGGGACGGTTTGAAATAATATCCTATCGGGTTCATTCTCACTATCATGCATCTAAACATGAATTGGGTAATTAGTTTACAACTTTTGGAACTTGTATATGGTAAACACGAATAATTACGATTTTTTTAAATTTAAAAGGAGAAATTGACAAGAATAATCTCATCTTTCACTGGTCTTCTCATAATAATACACATTTACGTAATTCTAGAATAATTTCACTTTTGCACTTATCTTCTTTCATTGGATCTTGACCTGTTGATGACCTCCTATACCAGGTTTTTTACACTTTTGTTGGAAACCTTATACAAATAATCCCACCTTTCACAAATCTGCTCAAAATGGCCCATTTTTATAATTTATTTTTGGGGAAATGGAAACTAATAATCCAACCTTTTAGCGGTCTTCATACAATAATCCAATCTTTTGGTTATTCATGAATAATCCAACATTTGCACCTCATCTTCATTCACTGGTCCCTGACCGGTTGATGACCTGCTATTTCAAGTTATTTTCTTATCTTTTCAAATCATTATACCATAAATCTCATCTTTCACAAAGATAATATTTTGCAAAGATAATAAAATAACTTGGAATAGTAAGTTATTGACCGATCAGGGACCAGTGAATGAAGATGAGGTGCAAAGGTTGGATTATTCATGAATAATCAAAAAGTGGGATTATTGAAAGAAGACCACTAAAAGGTTGGATTATTAGTTTCCATTTTCCCTTTATTTTTTCTCCCTAAAATTTTTATTTCTTTATTTTCATCCCTAAACACTTTTTATTCCTTTTTCTATCCTTTTGTTCTTATTTATTTCCCATTTTTTATTATTCTATTTCTGACTCTATTAGGAGATTTTTTTTTTGTGAAATTTCTCTTCAAAATAGCTTTTTTTGTTGTTTTCTTTTTCTTTTCGTTTTTTTATTTCATTTCCATTTTTATGTTTTTCTTCTTAATCATTCTTTTCTTATTAATGATCTTTTTCTCGCTTTACTTTTTGTTATGTTTTCTTTTTATTTTCACTTTCCCACTTTTTTCTTTTTGTTATTTTTTTTATGTTTTTTCTTCTTTCTCCTTGTTATCTTAATTCCACCATCAATATATTTTTTCTCATTTCTACATTATTGTATTTTCTAAGTAAGTTCATCCATTAATTTCATACACTATGTGAAAATATCTATGTGACAAAGGATTAGAGAAAAATTAAATTAGAAGAAAAATAAACATTCGCGAAAATGAAAGAAAGAAAAAATTACATTTTCCCGAATGTTTTATTTTTCCTTACATTTCTCAAATGTTTTATAATTCCATAATCATTTTATCACATAGAGTTTTCCCACAAGTGATGAAATTAAAGGGTGGATTTACTTAGAAAAATACAATAATGAAGAAAGGAGAAAAACATATTGATGGTGGAATTAAGCTAACAAGAAGAAAGAATAAAAACATAATAAAAAATAACAATAAGAAAAAAGTGGGAAAGTGAAAATAAAAAGAAAAGATTAAAAAAAGTTGAGTGGGAAAAGGATCTTTACTAAGAAGAGAATGATTGATAATAAAAAACATAAAAAGGGAAATGAAATAAAACTATGGAAATAAGATGAAAACGACAAAAAAGAGCTATTTTGCAGAGAAATTTTACAAAAAAAAAACCCTCTTCTAATAAAGTGAGAAATAGAATGATAAAAATGGAAAAGAAATAAGAACAAAAGGATAGAAAAAGTGTCTAGGGATGAAAATAAAGAAAGAAAAATTTTAGGGAGAAAACATAAATAATAAAAATGGGACCATTTTGAGCAGATTTGTGAAAGGTGAGATTATTTGAATAAGGTTTCCAAAGAAAGGGTAAAAAACCTGGTATAGGAGGTCATAACAGGTCAGGGTCCAACGAAAGAAGATGGGGTGCCTAGGTAGGATTATTCTGGAATTACGTAAAGGTGAGATTATTATGAGAAAACCAGTTAAAGTTGGATTATTCTTGTCAATTTTAAAATAGTCTTTGATGCATTGTTTTTAAAAATTTTAATTTTAATAATGAATATAACATTGGTTATACACACAAATGATGTTATTGTATTTTTATTATTATATAGTTTTAACGTCGGTTTCGGAAAAAACTGACGCAAAAAGTTTTATTTATTTATATATAGAGATCACTGTCAACGTTGGTTTCCGTTGAAAACTGACATGTTTTTAATATTTTTTAAAAAATAGTTTTTACGTCAGTTATGGAACCAACGTGAAATGTTCATACCTATTACGTCTCTACTTTCCTCATCTCTTGAAAACCCGTCGTGAAAGGGTAAGAGTAACCGACGTGAAATGTTTGTGTCTACCTACATCAATTCTTAACATGAAAAAGTTTTTTGTACAAATGGTTGCCCATGTATATCCCCACACATTGCATAAGCTTTAGATCATATGAGAATATCATTCGACTAACAAATGGTGGTATTTTCCAGTTTGGTTCCACAAACCAGCCAACGGGGGAGTCAACAAATGCTATCAAGGGTTTGAAAAGGAAGGACTTACATGACCTAGACATGAACATAGTTACGGAGGGAGAGCAAGGAGATGGTGAGGAGCTAGTTATGGACATGGTCCCTAATACCAATGTAGGTTCTAAGGAGCTTTCAACTTCCGCCTTATCTAATCACTCCTTATGAAAGTGCTTACTTGGAATTGTCGAGGGACTGTTAATAAGTGTGTCATATGTCATGTTAAGCAGCTTATCATGATGCATCATCCTCATGTTTTAGGCTTGTTTGAAACTAAGTCGGCCAACTCTCAAAGGATGGTTAGTATGGCTAAATCTCTTGCAATGGTTGGTTGGGATTGTATTCCCCCGTTGTGTTTCAATTCGCTGGGGGTATCCTCCTCCTATGGAATCCCAATAAGGTGGAGCTCACTGTCATAGAAAAAGCAACTCAAGCTTTCCATTGTAATGCGAAGTCGAATGCATTTAGTATTATTTGCTCTCTGTTATACATTATTTGCCCTAAAGAGGCAGCTAAGGAAAGATGTTGGAGAGAATTGAGGGAGTTCAGAACGAGACATTCTGGTCTGCGGCTTGCTATGGGGATTTCAATAGTACTCTTTACTCTTTAGGCATCAGAATAGTGTGGTGGAAGCATTTTGTGGAATGCTATGGACTGGTTCAGGGATCAACTCAGTAGTTGTGATCTCTACGATGTGGGAACGGAAGGGGCACCCTTTACGTACGTGGGTCAAACGAGAAGGATAACAAGTGACCCTTCAGAAACGTTTGGATAGAGCAGTGTGGAACGAGGAAGCTCTCATGATCTTTCTATAAGGGAAAGTGTTTAATCTGCCTTGCCACCACTCTGATCACCATCCAATGATGTTCTCAAGTAGTATTGATTGTCCAATATGTTTCGAAGCTGCTTGGTTAACACATAGTGCTTTGGAGCAATTTTTTGTGAGCTCGTGGAGTTCTAAGAAAGATGTTATTGAACAAGCTATGCATGAAACAACATGTAATAGTAAGACATGGAGCAAAGAAGCATTTGGGGTCATTTTCCGTCAAAATAGGCATCTCAGGGCCATAATTCAAAGTATTCAAAATTCTCATAATTATTCCAATTCACGCTCAGAGCAAATGTTAGAAAGGGATCTTGAGATTGAATATAACTATATCTATCTATATACAAAAGCAAGAGGAATTTGGCCAATTTTTCCCGCCTAAAAATGTCACCGTCAAGTGTAAATGTGGGTCCATGTATTGCATGCGTTGGGCCAAAAAATGAATTCCAGTCGTTTTTTTTTTGAAGGGTTCAGCCCTCTAATTTTGTTTTTTGTCATTAAATGCACAAGTTGTACTACGGAGTACATATTAATCTTTTGTCAGCATGATAGTTGTTATATTCAGAGCACAGCACTAAAGTACAATTATGATCTCTTGACATTGATTGCCATTTCCCTTTCAATCAAGTGATTATATTTTTAACACAACTTCGGCCAATTAAAAATGTTCGCATCATTTTTTTGTTCAGTACAAAGTTTTAAAAGCATAGCATTAAACAAATCTTAAAATTGATTCCCATTTACCAGATAATGAAGATAGTACTACTGTAACACTTCCGGCCCCGCAGGACCCGATGTAGTTACTCCAGACCTCTGGTACTATAAAAGGAGACACATCTCGGTTGGTATGAGTAGTACTATTAATTCTTTTAAATTAATCTCAAGTGTTACAATCACCCCCACTTAGGATCGCAACGTCCTCGTTGCGTCCTACCAATTCAATCTCAATCATATCCCAGAATCATCCCCTGTTAAGTGCTCGCCTGATATCCAACGGATCAACACACTGTCGCAGGGTTACTCTGATACCACCTATAACACCCCGGCCCCGCAGGACCCGAGGTAATTACTCCAGACCTCTATTACTATCCTCACAAACCACCACGAACTTTCACCACGCACTTTGTCCTCACACATGCGCGCCCTGAGAAACTTCTCAAGGGGTCACTCATCCCAAGAATACTCTCGTGCAAGCACACTTAAATTGGAGTTCTTAGATGATGAGCTCCCTTAAAAGGAGATGCACCTCTGTTGGTATGAGTAGTACTATTAATTCCTTTTAAATTAATCTCAAGTGTTACAACTTCGTATTAATATTCTTTTCAGAATTTTTTATTAACAAATTACTCCCTCTGGCTACTTATTACCTAATACCTAATAATCTATCTTCTACACAAACTTCCCGAAATAGGACTAAAAAGGTTTGAAAATTCCATAATAGGACTACCATGTTTTTATTCCCAAAATAGGAGTAATTACTTTTAAGTTTGGAAAATATTGTCATGTTTGAAGTCTGGTACTGCCAAAACATGGCAGTAATTAGTCCTATTTTGGGAATAAAAACATGGAAGTCCTATTTTGGAATTTTCAAACTTTTTTACTCCTATTTCGGGTAATATTCTCATTATTCATTGGATATAATTTTTTGTGTGCATACTCTTTACATTGATTTACAAATTAACTAATAATGTTAACAAATAATATGATGTATCTACTACTTAATCTATGTCCCGTGCACCGCACTTAAATATATTTTTCAGAATTTTTTATCAACAAATTACTCCCTCTGGCTATTTATTACCTAATAATCTCTCTTCTACACAAACTTCATGCACACAATATTTACTATTTTTATTTCCCACCTAATTCAAAGTGTGCAATGTCCATTGGGACATATGGAGTGTTATACCATTATTCATTGGTGTTGAGGTTTAATCCAACACGATATAGTAAATATATGCATAAATGTGTATGAACAAGCTCGGTTTTTACGTGGAAACCCAAAAGGGAGAAAACCACGGGACTTTTTAGGCTAATGTCCAAGCCCTCTCTTTCTCATTAAGACTCTCCTCACTACTACAATGTACAAGCTCCCATTAATGGAGTATTGAGCTAGCTAGAGAGAAATAAGGAAGAAGAAGCTAAAAAAGGATCCCTAAACATGTGGGAAAACCCCATATTTATAGGGGAAAAGGAGTAGGGGAAAACCTACCCTAATGGGCCAAGTGGGCCGAAATGGGCCCAAAGGCCGAAACAGGCCTGCAAGGCTAAAAACGGGCCTCGCTGACTGGGCTCCGTACTTCGTAAAATCTTGGGCTCCCGAACAGTAACGGACCAGGATAATATATCTCAACACAAGTCCCCCAATTTCTTGAGTAGTGAGCGTGCGAATCTGCTTGAGAAAGTATACTTGCCCTACGCTCTTCCTCTGCCTTCTTTGCACATGGCCTCGTCTTTCGGAGCAAAAGCTTAACAATACCTTCGCCTAGGTGCGAAGGATTGGGGCGTTCGGACCACGGATGCCCGACCCGACTTCCTTTGGACGTTCGTCCCTAGAAGCTCGGCCTAGATGTGTCTTTGCTTTTGATGCACGACCCCGGTTGCAGCTCTCAGAGTCGTCATTCAGCGACAATCCTCGGCTTATTCCTAGAGACGTTCGACCTCCAAATGCTACGCTGGGTTTTCTTGGACGTTCGGCCCCTTGATGGTCAGCCCGCTCGAACTCTAGTTGTTGGGGCTCGAGAATCTTCCTTCTAGATGCTCAGCCCAACATGCTTAGGAAGATTAGTCCCTAGAAACCCGACCCGACTTCCTTTGGGCGTTCGTCCCTAGAAGCTCGGCCTAGATGTGTCTTTGCTTTTGATGCACGACCCCAATTGCAGCTCTCGGAGTCGTCATTCAGCGACAATCCTCGGCCTATTCCTAGAGAGGTTCGACCTCCAGATGCTAGGTTGGGCTTCCTTGGGATATTTCTACCTCAACATGCTCAGCCTGGGCATACTCGGTCTCAGGATGTGCTGTGCGTCTCGATGCCCTCGGCCTCCGGGGTGGAGAAGCTCGTCTCCCGACCCTCGGCCTCCAGGTGGAGAAGCTCATCCTCGGGCCCTTGACCTTTGGATGGTAGATGGTCGTCTCCGGCCCTCGGCCTGTAGGGTGGTGATGCTCGTCCCCAGGCCCTTGACCACTGGGTGGAAGATCGTCTTATGTAGGTAAAAATCCCTACCTCTGAGGTGGGGATGATCGTCTTATGTAGGTAAAAATCCCTACCTCTGATGGTCTTCTTTAGATCATCGGCCCTAGGGTGGAGATGCTCGCCTTCAAGCCCTCGGCCTGATGGTCTTCTTTAGATCCTCGTCCTCTGGGGTGGAGATGCTCGTCTTCAAGCCCTCGGCCTGATGGTCTTCTTTAGATCTTCGGCCTCTGGGGTGGAGATGCTCGTCACTAAGCCCTCGGCCTCTGGGGTGGAGATGCTCGTCTCCAAGCCTTAGGCGTGCTGGTGAAAGACGTTAGTCTTTGGGCCCTCGGCCTCCGGGTGGAGAAGTTCATCTCTAGGCCCTTGGCACCAAGGTTCATTCTGAGCATCATCTGTTATCGGTTGTTCTGATTATTATCTTTATCTCCACAATGAGCATAGTAATGCAGCCAAATGGATGGACAATATGTATATGTGTACACCTCTTTTTTTTGTAAGTCGGTTTGGGGCTCTTCCGGGTGTGACGGTCGGCCTCGGGGTACTGATATCCGTTATATTTACTTGTGTTTAACATAAGTATTTATAAGTATTTGTTGAAGAAAAGAAGAGAAATCGGGCAAATACCTCCAGAATGAGAGCTTGATCATAAAACATTGCGATGAACGACTTTTTGGACCAAGAGAATGACGTTCTGCCCATAATTTGAGTATAACGTATTCTATAGAACTCGAAATCACTCGATTCGAGTTTCATGTGAATGCTAACTCAATAAGGTACAAATGTTATGAAGACGTCATGACCAAAATACGAAAGGAACAAGACTCAATCAACCAACAAAGTCAGATGTTGCTGGTGGGATTTCAGGATGCATACCTCTCAGTGTTTTATCCATATCTCTTGATTGGCTGAATAAAATCATGTCATTCAAGTTTTGTTGGATAGAAGACTTCATTATCTACAACTTTGGTGAAGGAATCATGTCCAAATTCGTAGCGGAACATCCCCAAAATCCCAGGACAAAACCGGCACCGGAATTTGCACCAAACCGGCGCCCGTTTGTTGATTTTCACATGTACACAAACCAGTAGCTTACCCGGCGCCGGGTAGGCCTTATACCCGGCGCCGGGTAGGCCAAATTTTCAGATTTCCCTGCGCACAATGAAGAACCGGCGCCGGGTAGGCCTGAACCCGGCGCCGGGTAGGTCTGATCCTGCAAATACAAAAGAACGTGCTGAAATATTTTGATGGAAAAAACTCACCTTCCTCATGAGCTAATCAAATATATCTTCCATGCTTGATTGTTGGGCTCGAATAGACTAATATATGTCAATCTTTAGCCTATATAAAGCCCCCAATTCATCAAACAAGAGCATCATTCCATCTTTGGAGCTAAAAATTCAGTTTTTATATTTCCTTTTTACATTTTCTTGAAGTGTTGGAGAAGAAGCCATTTCTCTCCTCTACAATTGGTTCTAGGTATTATTTCTTGTATGTTATTGTATTTCCTTTATCTTAGTTACACTTTTGTAATTAATATGAGCATTAGAGGCTAAGTTCTTAGCTAAGGCTAGGGATGAACTTCTATGCCCACTAGGTGTTTGATAAAAGTTCTAAACCAATAAATTGTGATTTATCCTTTACATTTTGATTGTTTATGACTATGGTGTACAACATAGAAGTATGTTAAACTTAGTTTATGCTTGCAATTAACGTTGAGGTCTAAACTATGAGCATTAAAGGATAAACATATATATTACCGAGAATAGAAATATATCCGGTATTATATGATACGGGTGTGATGTCTTGATATTCAACGGGGTTTTCGGTAGATGAGTGTAAGCCGTAACGGGACTTACACGTAACAAAAACCACGCTCTCGCTGCCTTAACCGGAGTTGAGAATATATTAGCGACATCGTATTCATAATTTTTGGTAAAGAACTAATATTCAACCCTATTAAAGCATTTAAGTGATTCCCGAAGCCTTAGTTGTTGTTATCAATCACTTTAATCAAATTAATTTAAGTTATATCTCTGAAAATTAAAAAGAAGAATCAAGTTGTTGTTTTCACAACAACACACAACTCAAAATCCCTGCACTTTACTCATTTATTTATTTAAAGTTATCTACTCTCGGACTAAATTAAACAACGTTTCCCTGTGGATTCGACCCGGTATTTTACCGGAAATTATTACTATATCGGCACTTGTACACTTGCAAGTTCAGCCCGGTCAAGTTTTTGGCGCCGTTGCCGGGGAAACGGTCTTGTTTAATAAAGTCCAAACAATCAACCAATCAAAAATCCTGAATTTATTTTTCACAACTTCACTTGATCTTGGAAGGATTTTTTTTCTTGTGTAGATATTCCCTTGTGTTTGCATGCAATTGAGAGGTCAAGGTTCTAAAATTCTTGAACCACTTGATCTTGAAATAGAAAAAACTTGCAAACACATTCGAAGGGAGCAAAAAGCTACAAAGATGTTGCCAACTTTGAATGAGAGGAAGAGACCCGTGGTGGCCGCTACGCCGTCTTGCATCACCTTGAGCGAGGAAGCAAGAGACTATGAGCTAAGGCAAAGCTACTTCAACGCTATGCCTCATTTTCATGGTTTGCTTGGGGAAAATCCACTCAACTTCATCACGGAGTTCTACGGATTCATTCAAGGAATCCCTAGAAATTAAATGGCTTGGCGGAGGATCAACTCAAGCTCAAATGCTTCCCCTATACTCTCAAAGGGGCGGCAAGAGGATGGTTCCTAGAGCAAGCTCCGGCAAGCTACACAACATGGGAAGGTATATACAATGCCTTCATGTCTAAATACTACACGCCCACCATGACTCAAGAGCTTAGACAACGCATTTTCAATTTCAAACAACAAAATGGTGAGCTCTTTCAAGATGCATGGCGGCGTTTCAAATCATTGCTAAGGGAATGCCCACATCACCGCATTCCCCTAGACCTTCAAATTGACACGTTCTACAATGGCTTGAATGCATCTTGTCAAGCCATTGTGGACAACCGAGCCGAGGGCTATATTGGCAAAAGAATGAAACTGAAGCACTCCGAATCATTGAATCCATTGCTTCGAATCCTCAACTCCAAGGAGGTGATTACAAAGTGGTCGGGATTAATGAAATCTCTATCACGACGGAGATAAACAAAAGGCTTGAAGAAATGGAATCGAAGATTGAGCAAAAGTTCCAAACGGCTCTACAAGCCGTATTGGGAGGAGTCAAACGAATAGCCAACGTGGAGAGCATACCAAGCCCGGAAAGTGATTTATCTCAACAACTTGAAGAGGTAAATTATATGAACTCTTATGGGAATCGGGGGAACAATAACTATTCAAATCAACAAAGGTGGAAGCCACAAGCTAGTTCCTCACAACCCCAATCCGGAGTACCTAATTTTGGGCAACCCAAGGAGACTACCATGGAGGATATGATGCAATTCATGTCCAAAAGCATGGCGAGCATGAAGGCCCGAAATGAGGAAAACCACCATAGAGTGGAGGCATCCATTGGGAATCTCCACTCTCAATTCAACAAGTTGGATCTTCGCTTTGAAGATCAAAATATAAAGCTCAACCAACGCATTGATACCATCGAACAATATACCAAGGCGTCCATCCGGAATCTTGAAGTTCAAATGGGCAACTCGCTAAAAAAGTGAGTTCTAGAGAGCAAGGCAAATTCCCTACAACTACGGAGGTAAACCCGAGGGAGAGCGTCATGGCCATTACCACAAGAAGTGGGAGACAAACGGAGGACCCCAAGATGTCGGGGAGAAGAAAGATACCGGAGAAACAAGAAGAGGTTTCACATACACCGTTGGCACCTATTATGCCTCAATATGTTCCTCTCATCCCCTATCCACAAAAGTTGAAGAAGAAAGGAGATGAGAAGAAACACAAGAAAATTCTTGATATTTTCAAGAAATTGAGCATCAACATACCTTTTGCGGAGGCCATTGCGGAGATTCCATCATACGCAAAATTTCTCAAAGGCATCATCTCCAACAAAAAGAAGTTAGAGGAATTCGCAACCGTGGCACTAACGGAGGAATGTAGTGCTATTATTCAAAACAAACTTCCTCCAAAACTAAAAGACCCCGGAAGCTTCACTATTCCATGCTCTATCGGAAAAGTCGGGGAGGTAAAGTCTCTTTGTGACCTTGGAGCTAGCATAAATCTCATGCCCTACTCCCTATTTAAAAAGCTAAGTGTGGGGGAACTCCAACCAACAACGGTTGCTTTGCAATTAGCGGATAGAACAATCCGCTATCCGATAGGCATCATGGAGGATGTCCTTGTCAAAGTAGGAAAATTCTACTTTCCGGTAGATTTTCTTGTTTTAGACATGGAAGAAATTGAGGTTCCCGTCATCCTTGGGAGACCATTTTTGGCCACTTCCGCAGCCATCATTGATGTGCAAGCGGGCACCGTAAAGCTAAGAGTGGGAGGAGACAATGAAACATTCCATGTATGGAAAACACAATCCATACCAACTCAAAACATGGAGGTCAACACAAATCCTTTCATCCCTCCCAAGGCCATAAACATCATGAAGGCACAAATATTGAGGCCTGAGAGTCCTCAAACACACCACAGGAATGAAAAGAATGGACGGACAACTCCATGGCCTCCCCACGATCTCAAAAAGGTAACATTCATCAAACATCTTCACATGTAAAAAGGTACGTTGCGTCCGGCCTATGACGTTAAACTGAGCACTAATTGGGAGGCAACCCAACAAATTCAATTATAAATAAATATGTTTAGTTAAATACATATTCATATTTATTTATAGTTGAAAACAAAAAAAAAACAAAAAAAAAAACAAAAAAAAACAAAAAAAAACAAAAAAAAAACAAAAAAAAATCATCGATCTCAGCTCAGATATCATGCATCTCCTACTCTCACAAGACGGCCCATTCCGCTATTGAAGATTTCATCCTCCATTGAATCCTCCAATGTACATTGAGGACAATGTAACTCAAGTGTGGGGGGTGTATCTCATGGTTAGTTAAACAAATTTTGTGTGCAAAATAATATTTTTTTAGGAAGGTAGAAGTTGTGATAATTCTCTTTTTAATGGGTATTTGGTTGAGAAAGTTTTTATTATTCACATAAACTATCATTTTTTTAGATTTATTACACTACTTTTACTCTTGAAAACCATTCCCAAAATAAACCTTGTGACTAGGAAACATCATCTTCTTCCATGTCCAAAAATGGTTTAAGTACATCTCGAATATTCAAGAACCATTTTGGAAAACAAGCCACCCTCATGTCTCATCAAATAAATTGGGATCATCAAAATGACTTTCAGAAAATACTTGTTGAGAACCAATTCAAATGAGTTATAAAAAAAAAAACTCATGGTCTCTTCCAAGAATTCCAACTGATCCAATTCTACACTGAAAAGTCAAATCCACCAAAAAGCCATCCTAAACACCCAAAAAAGTCCTAGTCACAATCCACTCATCTACTCTCAAGTGTATAAGTAAATTTTCTAAATCTAATGATAGTTTTGTGTGTCTAATAGAAATTTGGTTTTAGACCGAGAATGATAAAGGAGTTTACATAATTTTATACCTCCCTTAAAAATAAAATTATTTTTGTGCATATATTTTTGTTGAAACTAACCAAGGCATCCAAGGTGAAGAAATTGCTCGAGGACGAGCAATGCTCAAGTGTGGGGGGATTTGATAGCCGTTATATTTACTTGTGTTTAACATAAGTATTTATAAGTATTTGTTGAAGAAAAGAAGAGAAATCAGGCAAATACCTCCAGAATGAGAGCTTGATCATAAAACATTGCGATGAACGACTTTTTGGACCAAGAGAATGACGTTTTGCCCATAATTTGAGTATAACGTATTCTATAGAACTCGAAATCACTCGATTCGAGTTTCATGTGAATGCTAACTCAATAAGGTACAAATGTTATGAAGACGTCATGACCAAAATATGAAAGGAACAAGACTCAATCAACCAACAAAGTCAGATGTTGCTGGTGGGATTTCAGGATGCATACCTCTCAGTGTTTTATCCATATCTCTTGATTGGCTGAATAAAATCATGTCATTCAAGTTTTGTTGGATAGAAGACTTCATTATCTACAACTTTGGTGAAGGAATCATGTCCAAATTCGTAGCGGAACATCCCCAAAATCCCAGGACAAAACCGGCACCGGAATTTGCACCAAACCGGCGCCCGTTTGTTGATTTTCACATGTACACAAACCAGTAGCTTACCCGGCGCCGGGTAGGCCTTATACCCGGCGCCGGGTAGGCCAAAATTTCAGATTTCCCTGCGCACAATGAAGAATCGGCGCCGGGTAGGCCTGAACCCGGCGCCGGGTAGGTCTGATCCTGCAAATACAAAAGAACGTGCTGAAATATTTTGATGGAAAAAACTCACCTTCCTCATGAGCTAATCAAATATATCTTCCATGCTTGATTGTTGGGCTCGAATAGACTAATATATGTCAATCTTTAGCCTATATAAAGCCCCCAATTCATCAAACAAGAGCATCATTCCATCTTTGGAGCTAAAAATTCAGTTTTTATATTTCCTTTTTACATTTTCTTGAAGTGTTGGAGAAGAAGCCATTTCTCTCCTCTACAATTGGTTCTAGGTATTATTTCTTGTATGTTATTGTATTTCCTTTATCTTAGTTACACTTTTGTAATTAATATGAGCATTAGAGGCTAAGTTCTTAGCTAAGGCTAGGGATGAACTTCTATGCCCACTAGGTGTTTGATAAAAGTTCTAAACCAATAAATTGTGATTTATCCTTTACATTTTGATTGTTTATGACTATGGTGTACAACATAGAAGTATGTTAAACTTAGTTTATGCTTGCAATTAACGTTGAGGTCTAAACTATGAACATTAAAGGATAAACATATATATTACCGAGAATAGAAATATATCCGGTATTATATGATACGGGTGTGATGTCTTGATATTCAACGGGGTTTTCGGTAGATGAGTGTAAGCCGTAACGGGACTTACACGTAACAAAAACCACGCTCTCGCTGCCTTAACCGGAGTTGAGAATATATTAGCGACATCGTATTCATAATTTTTGGTAAAGAACTAATATTCAACCCTATTAAAGCATTTAAGTGATTCCCGAAGCCTTAGTTGTTGTTATCAATCACTTTAATCAAATTAATTTAAGTTATATCTCTGAAAATTAAAAAGAAGAATCAAGTTGTTGTTTTCACAACAACACACAACTCAAAATCCCTGCACTTTACTCATTTATTTATTTAAAGTTATCTACTCTCGGACTAAATTAAACAACGTTTCCCTGTGGATTCGACCCGGTATTTTACCGGAAATTATTACTATATCGGCACTTGTACACTTGCAAGTTCAGCCCGGTCAGGTACAATGACCCTCGGCTTTGCCCGTCACCCAGCCTCTAATTATTAAATTAAAATGTCGGTGGAAGCTCATCCCCGAGCTTCGCTCGCCAATATTTATTTCGGGACATTTTAATCCCTAATAAATAATGGTGATAGCAAATAATAATACTACTCACTATCAAAATTTAAATGTATCGTATGGGGTACTTAGCTTTTGGAGATCGATGGACGTTCGGCCAGTTGGGATTTTACGAAGCTTGATTTGGTTCCTTTTGGCAATTTTGACTTGGACAAAATTTTCTAGCTATGAGTTTCCCAAGTTCCAAACTTTGATATAGACGTTCTGCCACAGTGATAGCCTTTACAGGCTTCAAGATATACGCTCGGCCAGGAGATTGGAAGTCAGATCTGCTCCCCATTGTCAATTTGACTTAGTCAACGTTAGCGATCATAGGCCCAGGCTTCCTTCAACCTTTCGCCTGGCTCACTAGCCGCGTTGAGAGGGGATTACGCTCTTCTACCACAGGCCTTGCCACCGAGCGTCGTCAAAAAATGTGCAGCCGCCGGTGATGGACGAGCTGCGAAAGGTGAGGCGAGCATCAGCTGGCCTTAGCGGTCGTCCGAGCTGAGGCCGGTCTAGGAACCGTATGGCGATGAGAGCCCGGTGGCGTATATGAGCCAGACGGCCAGAGCTGAACGGCTTCTGCAATGCAGGCTTGGAGCGGAGTCCTCTGATGGACCGGCTAGTTGGGTATTCTTGAGATGGGGACGAGCAGCTGTCGGGGTAGATTACGCTGTCGGGCGGCGAGCAACATGGTGCCCAAGTTGACCCCTATTGTGTGTTGAAAACATGGAGGCAGCGGGGCCGTGCGGCGCTGCATGCCGAAGGTGGCCGTTCGACGGAGGGTAGATACACTTGACGTACGTCCGGGATTTGCCTGACATTAAGTTTACAGATTATCAATTCCTTTTGTTGAATTAAACTGAAAGTCAACATTGGGTCCCCAGGTTCCATCAGTCCATCGGCTAGTAAATTGAGCAACCTGGAACGACTTCGCTATGACTACGGGCTGAGGAGGGAGATTGTCCGAACAGGTCAGGCGGGTCAGGAGAAGGTTTCGGTCTTGATTCTTGACTCGAGATCTTATACGAAGGGTTTAGTACGGGTGAAGGGTTCGAAGGGTTATCAAGCTAAGGGGATTGGGATCGGCGATCTTCTGGTTTGAAGTTTTCCGAAATAGTTAGTGTAGCGGCCATGAGGTTTGCGGTGTGAGAGTTGTAGGGCATGACGGTGAAGATGATGACTGCACGTGGTTATTGGGGATCACGTGTGGGACGAGGAGAGTTGCATGGGTTTTGAATAGGCCACCGTTTGATCGACAATGGAGGATCAACTAGTGAGGTACCAATAGAACGGCCTCCTCCTGAACCACCGTCATGGGTTGTGCGAGAGGCTAGAGTCCGTGAAAGTTTTCCAATAAATTTTTATTATTTCGTCATTTGATTTCTTGTTGTCATCTTTGTTGCTAGGTTTGTCGGTTTGTTTGGGAATTTAGCCTGGTTTTATGTCTTTGAGTATGTTTGGATCTATGGGAACATGGATGGACGTGTCAAGCCTGTTACTTGGTTAGCGATTCGGGTTGCTGAGGTGACCGTTTCTAAGTCTGATCATAGCATTTACAATCGTAATTGTTGGAGTCTAGTAGTTGGTGTCAGTTTTGTTCTTCCTTTGATTGATGTAATGATCCTGAAACTCATGATATAAAAGGCTTTATTTCGATGATAAAAAAAAGTATTGATTTTTAACTGTGGAAGCCATAGGCTTCTCGCTCCCTAGGAACTTTGTGAGAGCCGCCACCAAACGTGGTTTCATCGAGGAATTTTGACGGCGATTCATGGGTGTGTTATTATTGTTATTATTGTTATTATTGTTGTTATTGTTGTTATTGTTATTGTTATTGTTATTGTTATTGTTATTGTTATTGTTATTGTTATTGTTATTGTTATTGTTATTGTTATTGTTATTGTTATTGTTATTGTTATTGTTATTGTTATTGTTATTGTTATTGTTATTGTTATTGTTATTGTTATTGTTATTGTTATTGTTATTGTTATTGTTATTGTTATTGTTATTGTTATTGTTATTGTTATTGTTATTGTTATTGTTATTGTTATTGTTATTGTTATTGTTATTGTTATTGTTATTGTTATTGTTATTGTTATTGTTATTGTTATTGTTATTGTTATTGTTATTGTTATTGTTATTGTTATTGTTATTGTTATTGTTATTGTTATTGTTATTGTTATTGTTATTGTTATTGTTATTGTTATTGTTATTGTTATTGTTATTGTTATTGTTATTGTTATTGTTATTGTTATTGTTATTGTTATTGTTATTGTTATTGTTATTGTTATTGTTATTGTTATTGTTATTGTTATTGTTATTGTTATTGTTATTGTTATTGTTATTGTTATTGTTATTGTTATTGTTATTGTTATTGTTATTGTTATTGTTATTGTTATTGTTATTGTTATTGTTATTGTTACTGTTATTGTTATTGTTATTGTTAGGCTAAAGGGTCAAATAGGCCCCTGTACCTGTTCGGAATGCTCAATTCGCACCCCGAACTCAAAAAAACTCCAATTCACCCCCTGAACTCGCCAAAAAAGTTCAAATCCCATTTTTTGCAGGTGAGTTTCCGGTCATTGCCACGTCATCCGGTTAGATGCCAACTGTACATCCCACATGGAAATCTAAGGGGTCAAATAGACCCCTGAACCCGACAAAATTGTTCAATTTACCCCCTCAACCGTTAAAAAGTGTCCAAATTGCCATTAAAAAATAAAAAATAAAAAAATAGAAAAATATAAATAATATACAAGTTCATAATATAAAATATATGAGTCTATTTATAATATGAAAATAAATTATTTATATTTTAGGGTAAATATAATATTTTAAATATTTATGAGTCTATTTATAATATGAAAAAATATTAAAAAAATTAATATGAATTTATAAAAAATGTATGGTTGATTTTTTTAAATGGATTTAAAATATCAAAATATTTTTAATGAATTTGTTTTGTTTTGTTTTATGTGAATTTACCGCAAAAAATAAGGATATATTTATATTTACAGTAAATTCATATAAAATAAACTAAAAGAAATTCATTAAAACTATTTTCATATTTTTAATATGTTTTAGATTTAAATGTAAAATTACACACACACACACACATGCATATATCTATATATACTTCATATTATTTTATTCTAGAATCATATACTACATACTATACTTCATACTAATTATATGCAACATAAAAATTTTGTACTATATAAAAGTTATAATATGTAAATAGCAAGGGACTACTACATTTTTATAATATGTATTTAAAAAATAAGTACCTTCATTGTGTTTATATATATATGTGTGTGTGTGTGTGTGTGTGTGTGTGTGTGTATGTATATATATTTGTGTGTGTGTATTTAATTTACCCTGAAATATAAAAAGAGTCAATTTTTTTTTTAATTTTACGATTTTTTTTAATTAAAAAAAAAATTACTCTTTTTATATTTCAGGGTAAATTAAACATATATATATATATATATATATATATAAGGAAAAATTGACAAGAATAATCCCACCTTTCACTAGTCTTCTCATAATAATCCCACTTTTAAATAATCCCAAAATAATCCCACCTTTGCACCTCATCTTCTTTCATTGGACCATGACCATGTTTTTTACTCTTTCTTTGAAAATTATACAAATAATCTCACCTTTCACTTTTTAATTATATCCTTATAAATGTGAGATTATTTATATAAGATTTTTAAAAAAGGTAAAAAACTTGGTCAGGGTCCAATGAAAGAAGATGAGGTGCAAAGGTGGGATTATTTTGGGATTATTTAAAGGTGGGATTATTATGAGAAGACCATTGAAAGGTGGGATTATTCTTGTCAATTTTTCCTATATATAAACACAATGAAGGTACTTATTTTTTGAATACATATTATAAAAATGTAGTAGTCCCTTGCTATTTACATATTATAACTTTTATATAGTACAAAAATTTTATGTTGCATATAATTAGTATGAAGTATAGTATGTAGTATATGATTCTAGAATAAAATAATATGAAGTATATATACATATATGCATGTGTGTGTGTGTAATTTTACATATAAATCTAAAACATATTTAAAATATGAAAATAGTTTTAATGAATTTCTTTTAGTTTATTTTATATGAATTTACTGTAAATATAAATATATCCTTATTTTTTGCGGTAAATTCACATAAAACAAAACAAATTCATTAAAAATATTTTGATATTTTAAATCCATTTAAAAAAATCAACCATACATTTTTTATAAATTCATATTATTATTTTTTAATATTTTTTCATATTATAATTAGACTCATAAATATTTAAAATATTAAATTTACCCTAAAATATAAATAATTTATTGTCATATTATAAATAGACTCATATATTTTATATTATGAACTTGTATATTATTTATATTTATATTTTTCTATTTTTTATTTTTTATTTTTTAATGGTAATTTGGACACTTTTTAACGGTTGAGGGGGTAAATTGAACAATTTTGTCGAGTTCAGGGGTCTATTTGACCCCTTAGATTTCCACGTGGGATGCGCAGTTGGCATCTAACCGGCTGACGTGGCAATGACCGGAAACTCACCTGCAAAAAATGGGATTTGAACTTTTTTGGCGAGTTCAGGGGGTGAATTGGAGCTTTTTTGAGTTCGGGGTGCGAATTGAGCATTCCGAACAGGTACAGGGGCCTATTTGACCCTTTAGCCTTATTGTTATTGTTATTGTTATTGTTATTGTTATTGTTATTGGTATTGGTATTGTTATTGTTATTGTTATTGGTATTGCTATTGGTATTGCTATTGCTATTGGTATTGCTATTGCTGTTGCTGTTGGTGTTGCTGTTGCTGTTGCTGTTGCTGTTGCTGTTGCTGTTGCTGTTGCTGTTGCTGTTGCTGTTGCTGTTGCTGTTGCTGTTGCTGTTGCTGTTGTCGTTGCTGTTGTCGTTGTCGTTGTCGTTGTCGTTGTCGTTGTCGTTGTCGTTGTCGTTGTCGTTGTCGTTGTCGTTGTCGTTGTCGTTGTCGTTGTCGTTGTCGTTGTCGTTGTCGTTGTCGTTGTCGTTGTCGTTGTCGTTGTCGTTGTCGTTGTCGTTGTCGTTGTCGTTGTCGTTGTCGTTGTCGTTGTCGTTATCATTATCATTATCATTATCATTATCATTATCATTATCATTATCATTATCATTATCATTATCATTATCATTATCATTATCATTATCATTATCATTATCATTATCATTATCATTATCATTATCATTATCATTATCATTATCATTATCATTATCATTGTTATTTTCTTTTCTTGCATTTGGCGGTTTGTCTGGTGATTTGTTTAAACTCGGGATTTTTATCTGGTTAAACTCGCAATTTTAATATCATTTTTTTTTTGGATAAAAGGTCATTATATATCATCCAAAAGAGTTTATGTACAAGTAAAGCAAAAAAAAGGGAACAAAAATGGGGCTATCCCAACATGGGATATACCATAACCCGAGATCTATACCATCATGCCCAAAACAACTCAATAATGGTGAACAATCTCACGACATAAGGTATCAAAAAGCAATAAGTTCATGGGGGGTAAATACTATATAGGATCTTATACACCATGTATTAGATCCTAGCAAAAAAATCCTCCTCTTGAGCTTTGGCATCATCAAATATGACTACATTCTGCACTCTCCATGTCCAGTATATAGTATAGATGAATGCAATTCAGACTGTTTTAGCCTTGATCCCCGCACCCGCATGGTCCTTCTTGATCCGCTTCACCGAGCTATCCAAGGTAGACACCTGTCTAGGCATTCCAATCCATGCTCTGACCTTGCTCCAAATTGCACCTGTGAATTGTCAACCAAAGAATAGGTGTGGTACCGTTTCCGATTCACCCTTGCAAGAAGGACATATGTTAATCAAATCTAGCCTACTAAGATTATCATAACTTGCAAGGCGATTGCGGAAAGCAAGCCAAGCAATGAATGAAAACTTAGGTGGTATGTAGGCTTTCCAAATAAAGGGCATCCACACCTGTTTAGTACCCTATATTCTAATCAGTTCGTACACTTTGGAGGAGCACAATTTGCCATTGATAGCAAATTTGGAAAGACCTTCAATTGTGCTCCCAACTGAGTCAAATTTGGAGACAACGATGTCTTGAATCAACCCAAACACTTTAATATCATTTTTCTAACAGCAAGGGCATGATATCGATGAAGATGACATCTAACGGTGGATTTGGTAAGAGCGCGGGACGAGGAGAGTTGCGCGGCTTTTGAGCAGGTCAGATGACGATTGACAATGAAGGGTCAATTAGAATGGTACCAAGGATACGTCCTCCTCCGGAACCACCGCCATGGGTTGTACGAGGTGATAGAGTCCGTGAAAGTTTTCCTATTAGTTATTATTTTTTTGTCATTTGGATTCTTGTTATCGTCTATGTTGTTAGGTTTGTCAGTTTGTTTGGGATTTCAGCCTTTTTTTATGTCATTGAGTATGTTTGGATCTATGGGAACAAGGATGACTGTGTCAAGCCCGCTACATGGTTAGTGATTCACGTTGCTCTTTCAGAGGTGACCGTCTCTAAGTCTGATCATAGGGTTTACAGTCGTAGTTGTGAAAATTTAGTGGGTGTCAATTTTGTTTTTCCTTTGACTGATGTAATGATCCTGAAATTTATGATTTGAAAGAAGACTAGTTGACGATACAAAGAAAAGAAAGCGAATTAAAAGACATGAGAGCATATAACATGATATTCAATTACAAAATTTAATACTGAATAAAGAAATTTTGATGTTCAATGAAAATGTTTTGATTCTCAATTAGGAGAGGGCTTACGATTTTGATCATCTTTCAAAAAATATTATTAAATTAGATT